CCTAGTCCGAACTACCGTTACTCCTCATTCCACGAGGAGTAATGGTAGTTCGGACTAGGAAGCCTAGTCCGAACTACCTAGTTCGTGCCGCGTGTAGCCGCGCGGCACGGGGTTCGAACGAGCAGGGATTTAAAAATGGCGGCGCCCAATTTATGCAAATGAAGCCCGGGAAATTCAAATCCCGGGCTTCATTTGCAAGTGCGGTATGCCTACATTACCCTCCTTGTTCGAACTAGGAGGGTAGTGTAGACATACCCTATGTCCTTAGTGCCTCTACCACCAAATGTGGATTTACAATTGCATTTTCCTATTTTTATAATTTTTCTCTCTCCTATTGCTGTATGAAAGATTATCATAAACGGAAAGTTGAACTGACTAGAGATGAGCTGTAAATGTACATATTAAACATTGGAAACAAAGATACATTTTCAGCTGATGTCCTTCTAACGCTAGACGTGATTAGAAAGAGTGATGCTAAATAAACTGAGGGCTTTAGTTCTTTTCAATAAAACCAAGCCACAAATGTGGTGGTAACAAATTAGCTATCTTTAAAAGTTCTGTATAGATTGGAGATAATACATGGCTCTCCAGCTACTTTATTTTTAATTAGTTAAAAAATTGCATCAGTGGCAATGTTTCAAATGTGCATTTTCATTTTTGGGAAACAAATATAGAAAAATGTGCATTTAATTGCATATGTATATTTTGTATGTTTACATATATGTGAAATAAAAACCATAAAATAACTATAAATTGTATATATTCCTATACAGGGTACTAATCAAATTTCACTGTGCAGCTCTGTTTTCTAAGCTTGAGTCACACTGAAAGCATTTGGTTCTGACTCTTACTTTAACTGAAAAAAATACAACTAGGTCAGTGTTCATCATTTTACTATATCACGCTTGTTTTGTCCTTAGCTCCTCTACCACTTAACACTCATATTAGGGATGTGAAGTGTAAACCAGGGGTCTGCAACCTATGGTTCTTGAGCCAAATATGGCTCTCTTGTCATTCCCAAAATACATGCAACTTTTAAAATTTAAAATGAAAAATTCAGAATTTTAAAAATGCATAATTGCTTATGTAACTTGAATAAATCTGAGTTTGACCGGTTATGATGTAAACTTAAAACAAATGTGTGAAAAGATGCAGCAAAAATCCCATTAAATAAAGTCTGTATGTTTCATTTAAGCTATTATTAATCATCATGTCAATTATAAATAATATTAAAGTTGTATATTTTCAGTCATGCAAATGGGCATTCTTATATGGCTTTTTGTTGACCACTTGTTCTGAATTTTGATGTAGTTTAGCTCTTTGGTTTGAAAAGATGGCCTAGGCTCATCGGTTAACCTTCACAGTTGCACGCAGGGCCCCCCTCTACTTGCACTGCTGTGGCCGTGGAGCCACTTGCTCTCTCCCATGCGTGGGGTGGTCAGGCAGGACCCATCTCCCACCGTGCAAACATGTAACCACTGACATTTTTAATAAATGCATTTTAACATCCTTAACTCATATATTGCTAGATAACTTCAAATTACAGTAGTGTATATTTTATAGTGCTGTACACCTGAACAAAATCAACATGGAAAAATCACTTTAATTTATTTTTAAACAGTGAATTTATTGCAGAAGAAAGTAATGAGAAGTTTTGGCATTTTCTGGAAACTGTACAGGAATTAACAATTTATAAACAAAGAGGTAAGTAATTTAAAAGCATGTTAGTTTTAATCTGTTACACTACTACCTCATACAAAATACAATTGCAATCTTGTCATTAACACACTAGTTTTTAGTTAGGTGGGGGCTGCGTCTTCAGTTGCTCCTTGGTAAGGGCTCATCTGCTGCAGTGACAACACCTTATTTTGTGCAGTTGTTTCCCCTTTGCATGGTTGCTTAAAGCTGGTTTTGGTATCAAGTGTAGTTGCTCTAGCACACACTGCTGCTAGGGACATCTGACTTTGGATAGCCTATCTGTCAGATATATGGTATAGAAATCATTGAGAATTCTCAGCATATTTTCCTTCTCATTGTGGGAAGGGTTTTGATCCTGTGTGATAGCTCTGAAATCGAGCTTATTCAGGAAATTAAAAGGGATGTGAGTGCAAGAATGGAGTATTAGTAAGAAGGGTTCCTGCTGTTCCCAGATACCTATGGTGAAACTAGATGTTGCATGTGACTATCCTAGCAACACTAATTCCCATGTGTTTAAAAAAAAAAAATTACACTCAACATGAGTTATGAGTGGTTTCATGGACCATCAGGTAAATGAATCCTCTGAAGTATTCTATTATGAAACAGACACATGGTCAAAAACACAATTTTTTGATGTATATAGTGTCTGTGTACTCACATATATAAATACTTCACTGTTTATTTAAAATAGCAAAATTAAAAAAAAAAGATGAACGGTGTGGAAAGAAGGGCAATGTATTGATATTTGAACTCACAAGCCAATTTTTAAACAGTTGTAGTAAAGTATTTAAAGTCTAATTAAAACAGCCGTTCTGTCCCAGGTGCAGGTCAGGAATAGTTAGTGGCAGAGAGTCCAAGTTGGCTTTTGCTCCATTCCCATTTTACCTGATGCTGATACTTTCCCCTTTGTGCTGGCTTCTTGTATCCTTGCTGGTTCAGCCACCTGTGTAGGAGCAAAAGTAGCTGAAAAGGCTCTAGTAGATGATACTGTATTCAGAAGTTTGACCACAGGACTATTCATGTGTAGGGAGTAATGGCTCTAGTTGTCAGGGTTTTCTAGAGAGGTCCAAAACATGATTAAGGACCTCATATTTAATGAGTTCAAAAATTTTAATGAAAAGACAGAAAAGTCCCTTTACTGTCTAAAGAATTCAAGAGCCACTCTGATCGTTGGGGATTTACAGTCCAGCTGCCAGGAGGAAATACCAAAAACAGCTCTTTAGACCATGGCTATACCCTCTGTAAGCTCCACATTACTAGTGTCTGCCTGAACCTCCATGTAAATGACAGAAAATTCAGTCCCTGTTTCTCAGGTTTCCCTAGTAACAGCCAGCATATTCCAAACTGCAGGCCAAAGACCATTTTGAGAGACAGGTCGAGACCCACTCTCTTTAAGTCATACTACCTTTATCGTCCCTTGTAACGTTTGGAGGCCATCTTACTCTCTTTGCCCACACCTGTATAAAGACCACCATGAACTGTTGGCTCCTGAAAACCATCTATTAAAGATACTCCATAGAGTTTCTTTCCTTTCTTCCCTAGGTCTCACTTTCAATGTAAGGAAGCTTAGGACATCACCATAGATGCTAAGAGAGCATTAGCATTAGGTCTAAAGAATACAAGAAATCACTGTGTGATTCTT